GGTACCGCACACTGTTGTCCGCTAGTCTTGGACCACAGAAGGGACTCGCTGCTGGCCGGCGGGTGGAGGGGACCTCGGAGCACGTGCGCTGGCTGGGGTTTGGCGCGGAGGCGGGATGAGGTGGGCTCTCGCCCTGATTGACTTGCTGTGTGATCTCGGGCAAGTCGCCTTCCTCTTTGGACTTTCATTTCTTGAGCTGTCAAACTGGGACTTGGACTCCAGTTGTGGTCACCTGGGCCTTTCTTTCTCCTTGCCATCCCCCACCCCAAGACAGCGTTTCTGTTCCGAACCCTGCCGCCCGCCGGCTTTGATCTCGAGTCTGATGGCCACTATTCCTTTCTTCGGACTTGTCATTACACAATGATAAAGTTCAGGCTTTGACCGTTACTCATAATCTCTCTTGGTTATTGTGGGGCTATCATGGAATACGCGTGAGGGCGTGGGAATTGATATTGAAACCTTTTTGAGGTAACCCACATACCGAACTTACATTTAGGAAGTGATAGAGTAGGGACTGTTGGAAAGATTGAGAATGTTGCATAAGCCTTTCTTGTTGATTCAGTCATTTAAAAGCATTGCCTACTATGTGCGAACACTAATGTTAAGTGCTGGGAATACAGAGGTGAATGAGCCAGTGTCGCTGTCATTGGGGGAAATATATCAACAGGCGGTTACGATATAGCTATAGCATGCTATTTATTAATTCAACAAATATTTGTTGAAGGTCTGTGTGCATGGCATTGTTTTGAGCACTGGTGGGTACAGTTGAAAAAAATCAAAAGTCCCTACTCAAGGAGATTGCGTTCTGGGGGAGGGGGGTGCAATCATGTAAAATATATACAATAGTGTGTCAGATAGTAATAAATACCATGGAGAAAAATGAAGCAAAGATTGGAGGGAAATTAGTGGTAGCAGGGAAGGCATAATTTCTATTTTACGTTTTTATTTATTTATTTTTGTAGTTGCAGATGGACAGCATGCCTTTATTTTATTTGTTTATTTTTATGTGGTGTTAAGAATGGAACCCAGTGCCTCACACATGTTAGGCCAGTGGTCTGCCATTGAGCTACAGCCCCAGTCCATAATTGTTATTTTAAGTAGAGTGATCAGAGAAGGCCTTGTTAAAATGGGGAATTTGAGCAAAGAGCTAAAGTAGGTGAGGGGGCCAGCCATGAAGATATCTTGGGGAAGAGCATTCCAGACTCAGCAAACAATAAGTGCAAAGACAGCATGCTTGTTGATGCAACCAGAAAGGGTGTGTATAAGAGGAACAAATTGTACAGGAAGTTGTAGTCCATAGAAAACTTTGGCGTTTATTCTAAGATAGGGTTTAGAGCAGAGAAATTTTAGCAGGATCACTAACTGCTTGTTAACTTGTAGAGAGGCAAAGTGGTAAGACTAGTTAAAGGCTATTGCAATAATCCAGATTAGTAAAAAAGGAGGTGGCAAATTGTTTCATTTGAGATAAGATTTGAAGATGATGTCAATAGGATACAGGTTTTAAAAAAAAAAAAGGAATCAAGAATGACTTGAAATTTTTAACCTGAGCATTTACTGAGACGGGAAACACTGGGAACAGTAGAGTTGGTGGTGGGATATTAAAAGTTTGATTTGGGTCATGTGAAGTTTGAAAGACTTGATATTAAAAAATAGATGTCTGTCTTCATATCATATGCAAAAATGAACTCAAAATGGCTAATATTTAAATGGCCTAAACATGAAACTAATACCATTGAACTCTTAGAAGAAATTGTGGAATTTGCAGCAGATTCTTAGATATGAAACCGAAACACATGAAATAAAAGGAAAAATACATGAATTGGGCATCATCAAAATAAACTTTTTTTTTTTTGGTACTGGGGATTGAACCCCAGAGGTGCTTAACCACTGAGCCACATTCCCAGCCCTTTTATTTTTTTGAGACAGTGTCTTGATAAGTTGCTTAGGGCCTCATTAAGTTGCTGAGCCTGGCCTCAAACTTGTGATCTTCCTGCCTCAATCTCCCAAGTCACTGGATCATAGGCCTGCATGACCACATCTGACTCAAACTTTTGTTTATCAAGAAACATTACCAAAAGGTGGAAAGAATGAAAGAAGATGTTTGTAAAGAATAGAATGGATGAGTCTAGAATACAAATATATTTTTTTAAAAAAAACTCTTAAATTCAACAATCAAAAACAAATAACCCAGTGAGGAAATGGGCAAAGGACCAGAATAGATATTTCTCCAAAGAGGAGATACAGATGACTAACATGCACTTGAAAAGATGGTCCCTACCAATAGTTATTAGGGAAGTTTAAATCAAAACCATAGTGAGGTGACAGTTAAACATAGAATTACCATACCACCCAGCAGTTCCATTCCAAGGTATATTGCCAAAAGAATTGCAAACTGGTGTTTAAATTTTTTTTAAAAAAGCATATACCACACATTCACAGTAGCACTGCTTATAATACTCAAAACAGATGGAAATAACCCCAAGTCTGTCAGTGCTTGAATGAACAGACAAAATATGTACTAATACAGTGGAATATTGTTCTACCATAAAAAATAATGAAGTACTGCTACTGTTGATATATAGATGAACTTCAAACATTATGCTAAGTGAAAGAAGCCAGATATAAAAGATCATATATTGTATGATTCCATTTATATAAAATATAAATATATAGATTAATCCATAGACAGAAAGCAGATTTGTGGGTGCCAAGGAGTAGAGGACAGGAGGAATGGGAAACAACAGATTAAGGGATACTAGTGATTTCTGTCCATATGTAATTGAGTGCTCTTTTCATTATATTCAGGGAAATATGGTCTATTGGGGATTATATTCTCAGATTTGGAAGGAATTTTAGGTCTAGTGGAGTCTTCTTGGAATGCTGAAATTCCCTCAGTAGTCATGGCTTTTAACCTTCTTTGAAGTTATTGTCCCTTTTGAGAATCTAAAATAAGGACTCTTTTCCTGAAAACAAAATAAATCCAGTTTTGCATTTCACCATAAAGGCACTCATGAACTCTGGAGAGCCATATGCATTCCTGACAGGTGGTATCTGCCTTTGCTAAAATACTCCAGGTTTCTTTGTGAGAGACATCTAGAGGTCCTGGACAGCAGCAGCTATTGTTTCTTTCTTGTTTTGAGTGCAAATCTGCCTCCTGTCATTTATGCTTTTGAGATTTAGTTTTGTCCCCAGATTGACACTGAGCAAGTCTGTTCCCTGTTTCATGTAAGAGCCCTTTGAATAGTTCAAGACCAAATAATAAACTTTTCTGAACTCTTTTTTAAAAATATCTTTATTGAGATATAATTCACATATAATTCACTCATTTAATGTGTATAATTCAATGGCTTTTGGTATATTACATTATTTTAAATTTTTTGGTGAAGTCTATATAACAAATTGATCATTTTGACCATTTTTATTTTTATTTTTGTGGTATTAAGGATCAAACCTAAGACCTTACACATGCTAGCTCTACCACTCAACTATACCCCAGCCCCATTTTAACCATTTTTAAGTGTACAGTTAAGTGGTATTGATTATATTTACAATGTTGTGCAACAATCACCACCGTTTCCAAAACATTTTCATTATGCCAAAAAAATACCTCTGTAACCTTGAAGTGTCACTTCTCTTATTCTGTCCCTAGTCTCTGGTAACCTCTAATACACTTTCAGTCTCTGTAAACTTGCCTGTTCTGGGTACCTCAGATAGGTGGAATAATAAGATTTGTTTTTTATATCTGGTTTATTTTATTTAACATAATGTCTTCAAAGTAACTTTTCAGTTTCCTTTTCACTGTGCCCACAGTTAATCTGTACAAAGAAGTAGTTTTTTTTTTTTCCTATAAACGAGTAGTAAGGAAGGTTGATAAAGGGTGTGTTACCAACCTACCTGTTGAAGTTAATTGACATTGTTAACTGACAACTAAGATAATATATTTAATGCTATTAAACAGTGCATTTCTCATCTATCATATTTATAAATTCCATGTACACTTTTAGGAACAGATATTTAGAAATAATTAAAAATTCAAGAGCATAATCAGTAATGAACAAAATGTACAATTTTACATACATAATAGTTCTTATTGGTTTAGAAAAATGCCATTGATATGCTTTTCTTTTTTTTAAGTGAAATTATATGATCAGCTTAGCTTAGGGCAGGAGCATGGAGGTCACTGATTACTGAAAATTAAAGTTAAAAAATTATTGCCCGAAATTTTGGTTGTCTCAGGGTAGCTTGCCTAAGCAGAGTCTTGGCAGGAGGTACCTAGGGGCAGCTCTCAGCCGGGCTCAGGCCCAAATCAATGAATTGCACCCATTAGAGTGAGTTGGGCAATTGAAGCACTCTTC